GAGAGACCAAAGTTGGTGGGAAATGGAGATTGAAAGGATTGTAGTTGGGTGATGTTGATCAAAGAGATCATGGTTTGTGGTCGATGGTGGTTAGAAGGTCTATAGTCGGGCAACGATGGTTGAAGAGACTGTAATCGAGCTATAATGTTTGGAGGGACCATATTTGGTGGAAGATGGAGGTTGGAAGGACTATAGTTGGGCGACTGTGATCGGAGGGATATTAGTTAGCATGTAAAAGTGACCAGAAGGATCATAGTTCGACGATGGTGGTCGGATTGACCATAGTCAGCAGATGATGGAGGTCAGAAGAATTGCAGTCAAGTAACTATGGTCAGAGGGGCTATATATAGCAGGAAATAGAGGTTTAAAGGATCATAGTCATGAGTTGATGGTCGGAGAGACTATACACAGTTGGAAAAAGTTGGAAGGGTAACAGTCGGGCAACGGTGGTCGAAGGGATCATAGTTGGTGGGGGACGAATGTTGGAAGGATCGTAGTTGGGTAATAGTGGTTGGAGGGACTGTTGTCGGTGAGTGATAATGGTCTGAAGGATCATAGTCGACGATGAAGGTTGGAAGGACCAAAATCAATGATGGAGGTTGAAAGCATCGTAGTCGGGTGATGGTGATTGGTGAGATCATAATTGAGAAGAGACAAATCTTGAAATTAGGGGTATCAAATAGGTTTTCCAGTCGGGTTTGGGTTGAACCCGGAGTTAACCTGGGTCCAAGTAGGTTCCAAACCTGACCTTGTTATATAAAGGGGTTAAAAATTTTGACACGGACCTGACCCACTAGGTTATCGGGTTGACCTGATTTAAACCGCTAATAAGGATAATCTGAATCTCCTTCCTAGTCTCCAGTGTGAACGAAGTGCTATCAGTTCAGGCCCATGCGAGCGAAGGCAAAAGAGAGTGTGTCATCGTGCATGCGGTAAGGCATCCATGTGGGTCCATGCAAATGCGAGCATGCGGGGATATATGCGTGCGTGTTGAATGTGGTGTGGGTGCGAGCTCGTAGGTGAGGGATTCGGGCACTAGCACGGTGTAGACGTGAGCTTGCTGGAAGTTGAGAGCCAATATGGGAGCGATGTTTATGCAAATTGAAGACCCGAGGGTGAGGGAGAAAGCGTGGCCATCGCGAGTTTGGGTACGCTATGAATAAGCTGCAAGCATGTGATTGGCTCCAGTAGTTGTGGGGGCATCGTGTACACTTCATACACTCCTCTAAGTTGTCTTAAATCCTTTCCTATTGCTTGAAGATTTATTTCTCTTTTTACTACTATCTCTTATGGTCATATTGTCTCATGATCTCTTTTTGCTCATATCATGATTGAACAATGGTATAGATAAATCACTTTTCTCAAATCTTTCTCTCTCAACCAATTCTAAAAACTTTTAAATTCTTATTGGTACCAATATGTGTCTGAATTCATCCTTCAATCCTTTAAAAAATTATAGCATTTTTTCCCACTATGCTAATCAATTAAGATGCATACCTAGCTAACACAATAAATTATATTTCATACTGCATCACTATCTTATTGCTCTATTTTAACTTTATAAAGGCTTCTTATATTTGTTATTGAGTTTATGGAGGCACAAACAAATTCTTAAAAATAGTAACAAACTCTGTCCAAATAATATTTGCATTCATCTTTTCTCAAAAAATTTCTCGCTATTGTCCTATCCACCAGCTTGTTTGCTTCACCTTCAATAAAAATATTATCAATAACACATTTATAGTCTTAGGATATTGCATACTATCAAATATATTTTTAATTCTCAATAACAAGTCTTATGTTATATGTGGTTCTATAAATACTTTGAATAATGGTGGCTTCAATTTATGAAACACTTATAAATGTCTAACCTCTTCTGGTTCCTTATGTCTAGTCTGCTAACTGTGTGCATAACTCATTATATGTGCAAGTATACTAGTAAGTTGTCAGAACTCATTGAAGTTACTATTGCAATCTATCATTATGTATAACCTGATCACTAGGGTCCATCTATCCACTAATATAATTCTCTTTCATAATCAATCAAACATACAAACTCAATATACATACACACATGTGCAATTGATTAATCAAATGTAAAGAAAAAAAATCTATACTAACCACTTCTATTCCACTCATAATCAATCATATTACTCTGATTATAATTCAATTATTTCAATAACCTTTACTCTATAACAAATTTGTAACATCCCAATACTAAAAAAAAAGATATCTTTTATTTTTAATTAGTATACCAAAGCATTTAATTTCATTTTTTTTATATCAATTAAAATAATAAAAATATCTTTACATCAAATCATCTATTAATATACATCACAAATCAAAATCTATACACAATAACTAGAAGTTCAATCTATAACATCCATCAATTATAATCCCTTTGGTTACAAAAGAATAAAATAAAATACAATATAATAAATTAAACGTGTAAATCTGACATGATCAATCCCACTCATTTGATCACCTTCCTGAACCTGAAAATCAATCAAATCTACATAATGAGCTTAAAAAATCCAACATGACCCTAATACTACCAAAACTTCCAATGCAAGGCAAAAATATCAGTATGCTAGCTCATTACAATCAATATAATATTTGTAGTCATTGGTATGAAATTAATAATCAATATCAATACATCAATAAAAAATCAATATGATCAGTAAAATAAAAGTATCTAAAAAAGTACATTAATTGTAAACAATCATAAATATCATTTTGCCTAGTAAAATTCAATAATATTATAGTCAAAATGCTCATAAAATTTATATCTATCACATACAAAAAAGTTACTGGTAAAGGTTTGATAAATAAAAAGAAAGTATAGTTTTATTAATTTTGGAAATATTAAAATCGTAGGACTCAAAATTATTGAAATTCAGAGTAGGATTTGGGTTTCCTCTCTATTAAAAGAAATCTTATAACTAAAATGACAAACAAAAATGATCTGAAGCAACTTTTATCTCTCTTCTCTTTCCCCCTTCTCCCCCCTTCCTCCCCTCCTTTTCTTACGCAACAGCTATAGAGAGGGGGGAGGAATAATTGAGTGGAGAAATTTATATTAAAAAAATATTTTTCAGTGTCCAGTGCCGCAACGCTCTCAATTTAGCGCAACAACGTTGCTGGCCTCTCTCAAATTTAGTATAAAATAAAGAGCTCATCATCGCGGCGGAGCTTTCCCAATACCGTCGTGATGTCGTGTATAGTGTTGCAGCCCTCTAGCCCAGATTATCCAAATTTTCATTTTAAAATCTTTTTCTCAATTTTAGGTTATTACATGCTCAATATTCTATAAGGAAATCAGAGGGTAGATATGTGGCTGGTGGAAGCTAGGGCCAGAGGAAACCAACAAGAGCCCCATCCCGAATTGTTAATGAAGGATCCTCGACCCATAGTGGATCGAAGGTAGGTTTGAACTAGGTAATTCGGTGGATCAACAGGAGGAGTTTGGAGGGAGTCCATGGCAGTAGCCAATGCAGATCCAATATAGCCTATGGCATACAATTTGATCCAGTAGAAGGTGAAGGAGGCATCAAATGTGGTGATTTTTTTTTTGTCACTATCTTGTATTTTTTTTAATTCTTGAGGAAAACACTCTTTTCTATATGAGCGTGTTCTTAATGACTTGGGATTAGTCTGTTCTCATCTCATTAGAATAGGAAGTTAGAAAAAGAACTAGTTGTATTACCCTTGAAAGAATAGGAAGTTAGAATAGCTATGAACTATTTCATTTGTATGTTTAAACCGAAAATTATTGTTAGTACTCTTTCATTAATGTTGAAATGTTTATTTATTTAATTACTAGTTACTTACAACAACAACAATAACAACATCAAGCCTTTATCCCACTACGTGGGGTCGGCTACATGAATCTTTTTTCTCCATTGTGTTTTGCCTATATAAATGCAGCAATTGATATTAGTGAGATTAATAAAAAAAATTAATTCTTTTTTTATTTTTTATGTAATTTGCAATAAAATAAAATTTATTAGAATAAGTAAATATCTATTTATTAAATTAATATCGTTATACAACAATAAATGATACTTTATTATTTTCTGATAAATTATTATTGAGATAATCTAGTTTTATTTTGCTAATAATTCATAATAGAGGGCCATCTTTTAGTTTTTTTTTTCTTTTTCACAAACACTTATTACTTATTTAAGGGAAATTATTTAATAATAAGTTATTTATTTAATTTAATTTTTTCACAAACACCATAAGCATCAGCTAACATATAATTCTCCTCATCAATTACTAGCTACTTTAAGCTTCATTTGAGCCATCTTTTTTAATGCTTTCTAAAACATTTTTTTAATAAAAAATTTTTAAGCTATAAATTTTTGTACTAAAAAATTATTTTAAAATATAATAAAAAATAATATCACAAATTGGGACAACTTTTTTACTGTTTTTTAAAATAACTTTCTAAAATTTTTTTTTTGAATTAATAATTTTTTTAGTAAAAAACTATTTTAAAAAATAAAAAAAAAAACTATCCCAAATAAAGCCTTAATTAAGTGCTTCCATGAACGCCAAGGTTTTGGTTGTTTTAAAATTTTCATTTATCAGTGTTCTTCCAGTTAAAAAGGAATTCTCACTTTTGGACAAGGTAGATGTAAATATAGAAAATTCAGTATTCTAAGAATAAATAAAAAACCTAGTAGAAATTAATTTTGCAAAAAAAGAAAAAATTCAGCACTAACTTGAAATTTTGAAGTCTAACATGTAAGAACACCCCTTCCATAAAAAGATCAAATAAATTAAGGCTTCATTTGGGACGGCTTTCTTACTGCCTTGCAAAATAGTTATAGAAAAAATAATTTTTTAAAACTGTTGTAAAAAATTTCATGATATAAAATTTGTTTAAAAGTAATAAAAAAAATAATAATCAAATAGAAATTGAGGTTATATTCTGAAGAGCAACGTAGTAAGAAAGCTGTCCCAAACGAAGCCTAAAGCTCCATTGCAGAGAAAGATACTCAAAAGAAGTTGTAATATTACTACTTTTAATTCAGAAATAATGGCTCAACATATCATTCTAATCATACACTTTAACATAAAAAGGATAATTAATCTCCAAATATTTGAGTCTGACATCTCAATAAACCATATTGTAAAGCTGCTGTTCAAAGTAATTAATGACTATTATAAATTTAATTAAGAGAATGAAGTGAAGTCTTCTACCCTTGCAATGTAAACTTCCTCAAACTCATTGTCATCTGATTAAGAAGAAACTCAATTAGAAAAGATGCCAATAAGACCTTCATGGAAAGGAGAAATAGTGTAGTAATGAAGGTAGTTATGTCACACTAATCAAAGAATGAAAGAAAAAACAATTTTTATATGCACAGTTGAGAAAATTCAAAAGAAAAAAAAAAGGCTCTTGGGAAAAGAAATCGGCAAGACTGCTCGAAGTAGACTCGACTGGACAGCCGAAGAGTTCGCCGCCGAAAAATATAACAAAGCAACCCAAAGCTGTTGTTGAGTTCATACAGTTGCATTTCCTTATGCCAAAATTGATTTTGGTTACAAGTAGGATATCAACATAGAAATTTCTCTCTCATGAAATAGAAAAGCATAGGCCCAACATGAAAAAGATTAGCCTGATACAGAGGGGATTGCAATTGACGTCAAATCTGTGGTTTTTATCAGCTTGTTAGTAAGATGATACATAAGGATGGAAACAGAAGGTGTAGATATGATGAGAGAGAGAGAGAGAGAGAGAGAGAGAGAGAATATTTAGGGATGAAATCTTTTATTCTACAGAGAGAAAGACTGCTTTCCATTGATGAGCATGTTGGACAGAAACAAACACATGGAAGGAATTTTGAAATCTGTGAAAGAGAAGAATAGAGAAAGGAAAAAAATAGTTGGGAATTGCTTCTGGTGCTTTTGATTTTCATATAAAAAGAAGGCGAAGAAAAAAAAAAGTCAAATCCTAACAGTACCAACATAGCTCACTTTGATATGTTGGTTTGGAGCTTAAGCTATCAACCAAGAGGTCTTGGATTCAAGTCCTATGTATGCGATGTGTGTGTGAGTTTGCCTTAATTGGACTAAATGTTCCCCAAAAAAATGTTAACAGTACCAGACCATGTAATCTTAGACCTACCCCTTGTTGGTCTCTCCATCAAAATGATACTTCACTGTGTTAAAGGCGCCACATCACACATGTACTGACCATCTTTAAGACTACTAATCAATTTCTGCTACCTTCATTTGTGGTAGCAATTTCATACTTTCCTTTCTTGTTTAAAAAAAAAAATAAAATCTGATACAGTAAACCTGCTCATTGAACTTTCATTGTTCCCAACGACTGATCCATATGGCAAAGCTGGCCTTACAGCTATTTCTAATATTCCACTCAATAGCTACGCAAGTACATCAGCCCTCACGAAGCATTCTCAAAACCCTTCTCTTTCAAGTACAATTTTAAGCATAAATATCATCCCCGTCTATAGCCTAGACAATCCACAAAGCTAATGAAGCAAAGAACAATAACCTGGAGAATATGGGGTGCTGAGAAATATTAAACGATCACGTCTTTTCTTCAACTAACAACATTACAGAGATATAGTTCATGAGCTTTCTTAGGCCAGCAATGACTTCTAAAACAGATTATCAAGTTGAAACACGGAAAGCAAGGCCATCAAAATGCTCTCTAATCTTCTCTTCATCATCTAGATGTTGATGGTAAAGTTTACACCCCCACCCCAACCTCCCAAAAAAAACTATAGCTCAATAGATGCGAAATTGTTAAAAAATTTTGAATTTAAGCTACTGGACCTTGAAGAAGTCCAAAGAACTGAATCGCATAGAAACTTAAATATATTTAAATCAATTGAAGTTGATAAACGGAACCTAGGGGCAAAAGTAAGAAAGAACTGTATCAATAATAGTATTTGCCAAAACATAATAGGTGAAAAAAGACCGAAAAGAGAGAAAAACTACTCAATGCACTTGAATGGCAATCAAACACAAGCAATCAAAAGCAAGTCATAAAAAATATTAACATCTAAGCACATGCTAACTAATGAGATGAAGAGCAAACCTTTCTTGAGGGTCAAGGCCACAATGGCATCATTCTCAACCTGCAAAGACAATAGTATCGTACCAGATAATCAGGCCTATAAGATTGGTCAAGTTGATCGAACAAAAAAAATCTCCAAATTCTTTGTTCCAGTTCAGTACCTTCTGCTCAGCTAAGGTCTTTGAATCATCCAATATCTCATTAGTTGAAACCAAGGTTAGCCGTTGGTTATTAGTTGGCTGATCAACCAATTCCTGTAACTTCTGCTTGATGTCTAAAGTTGACTCGGTTGGATCGCATTGTATGAAGTAGGTTGTCTTGTGGCGCTTTACACGAATATATATAGCCTGTAGAACCCTCAAAGATTTCATTAAAATCAATGGCAGAGGTCATGGCATTTTTATATTTAAGTATTAATACTATACTCATTAGTCTCATCCCAACTATGCGGTGTTGTCCTTAGCAATCTTACTTAAAAGGTATAGCAAAACAGGGATAGCGTTTTTTTTTTTTTACAGGGATATCTTGAGCTACTAGTTTAATTAGTGTTTGATTATTATAATTGGACTTAGGATAACTAATTAATTAAACAGTTAATAATACAAAATAATTTGTAATTAGATGTTTAATAAAGTAATATTAATAATGATTTCAATTAATGGTAATTAATTCTTAGAGAATTATTTAATGATTGTCAGAGCCTTTTTTAGCTATTCATACAACGAGTAATTGATTATGTTAAAATATTAAGATTGTTTAAGTATGATAAGTAAACCCTGGATGGTTAAAATATAAATGAAATTTAAATTGGCACATCAATTATATATTGATTAATTTCAAGATCAATTAACCATATAATTTATTAATTAAATGGATGTACAGAAATGCTTAGGAGATCAAAGATCTATTGGCTTATTAAACTTTTTAATATTATTTAAAAAATTAAAAAGATGCCAAATGAGTGGAGAATAAGTATTTTGGTTCCTATATGGAAGCTATATTTCTTAAAATCAATTTGGATTCATGTAGGGTAGTTCTAGTATAAAATCTGTACATTTGTTGAGAGGTTCGATGGAGATGTATAGAGTGTAAGGAGGATCTACATATAATATTTATTGATTTAGAAAAAGCATATGATAAAGTTTCAAGAGAAGTGCTCTGGAGGGCTATAAGAAAGAAATGAGTTTATAATGTTTATATTCAAGTCATCAAAGATATGTATACAGGAGCTGTTTTTGTGTTCAAACATATAGTTGTTTGATTTAAGAATTTTCTATTTTAGTTAGATTATATCAAGGATAAGCTTTAAGCCTATATCTTTTTGTTTTAGTCAACGATGTTCGTACTAGACATATACAAGAGGATGTACCATGATGTATGCTTTTTAATAATGATATTCTTCTAGTTGATAAGGCTAGAGATGGATGTTTTAGATATCACAGATGTACCTTGTAATAGATCTAATGGTGGGATTGTAACATTGGGTGATCAAGTTATTACAAAGAATGCATGTTTTAGTTATCATGGTCTATTGTTCAAAGTGATGGTGAAATAGATGAGGATATTATTAGTAGAATTCAAGTTGGCTAGTTGAAGTGGAGGAATGCGTCAGACCAATTGTGTGATAGAAAAGTACCCCCTCAAACTTAAGGGAAAATTGTATAAGATAGTGGTCAGACCCACAATGTTTTATGGTGCAAAATGTTGGCCAAAATGTTGGCCATTAAAAGAGAAGCATAAAATTAAGTGTTGCAAAGATGATGATGCTTAGGTGGATGAGTAGCTTCACACTTAGAGATAGAATGCAAATGTCAGCCTTATTCTTCATGATCTAGTTAACCCTTTTTAAGCATATACTTGTAAATGTTAGAGTAGTTCCAGTGGCAAATGAGATTGGAGAGTCATCTTAGATGGTTTGGTCACACAAGATGTCGGCTTTATGATGTCCATCTTAGCAGAGTAAATGTATTAGAGTCAACCTATATTAAGAAAGATAGAGATGGACATAAAAAGACTTAAAAAGTCTTTTAAAAATATTTTTTTTATTAATGAGAATTTGACTTTTAATAGGACACAATAGACAAAAAATATTTAAGAAGCCGAACCCTCAGAGTGGGATAAAGGCTTGTTGTTATGATTACATTGATAAATTAATAAAAGTAGGACTTAAAAAGGGTGAATTAGAATAATTAGTGCTTGGCTGCAATTTATTATAGAAAAAACTATGCAGTTGAAGATTAATGTTTTTTGTTTTATGTTTTCAATTATGTTTTTGTAAAAGAGAGTAAATACCATCATCTGATCCCAATACTTTTTTTTTTTTTTTGAGTGAAAACAAAAGCAGAAGAAAAGTAAAATGAAACCAAACCAAAACAACATAAAATAAGAACAGAATAAAAACAAAATAAATTCAAACAAGGCATAAATATTTTAAATCCATTAGAATTGCATATGATGGCATTCAACATGGGCACTTGCACCTCTCTCCAAACTAATGACTCAAATACCATGTATGGAACATAGCTCAAAGATGATATTATGATAAGCAGAAATTTATCTTTGAATTTTTATTCTAATACTTCTTTTAATTTATTTAATATTTTTATAGAAATATAAGCTTGGAAGAGACCTTACCACAATGAAGTTTCATATCCGGACATTAGAGTAAGTTGTACCAGTCGTGGACGGATAACAAATTGCATGCAATTTGTGTAAATATGAATATTATGAAGGATGAACACAATTATTTAATATTTCAAAAAATCTCATAAATGTTGATCTTTCATAGGATTAGTACATACAACTTAGAGATATATAAAGCCAAGGCTTTGTTCAAGTGGATTTTCTCAATAGTTAGATTATGGCCTGTGGACATAGGCAAGAGGAGAAAGTATGGGTAAATTTTATAGATTAGGTCTCAGAGCATAAATTATGATGCACAAACCCCCTATTCGAGTTTGGTAGGGGATGGATGAGCTATAAGAGATGATGTGGTGCCAAATAGCTGTTATGATTGAGAATCTAAAAGCTCATATGGATACAAAGATAAACAAATCCAATAACATATGAGGATTAACAATAGACTGTATCTGAAGACAATGAGGAAGAAGCGAACAAATGAGAGGAAGTGAGGAGGGGAGTTAATGCAAGGAAATAAGAGTAAAAAATAAACAATTGATAACATATTATAACTTTAATATTTGGTTTGGTTTAAGTAAATTTTATTAATGATGTTTAATATTATTATTTTTCATTACATGCACAACATTATATTTGACGACCAATGTGTAGATAATTAATTTATTGGGGAATGGTTGCCAAAAAAAATTTATCATCAAGTTATAAGTGAATTTCTCGCTGATAATCCGGCCATCTGATATAAATTCTATCAAAAAATTTTGACTTCAATCCGCTCAAATTTCTAATGGATTTTTGGCTATATGATAGTTGGTAAGTACCGATGGTATGATCCGCCATAAAATACAAAAATTTGTTAGAAAGTACATTCTTCAACAAATTTGGGTGGCCATAAATCATTTTTGAAAGAGGTTTTTGGCTAATCAGATTCCATAAATATCGACTGGAATCTTAGACTTTTTGACTTGCACAACTCTTTTAAGTTTTTCACTTGCACAAGTAATAGAATCTCGGAAGTAAAAGAAAGGAGAATTAAGAGCACTCAAAATCAGCAATCCTGAAAATTTATGCATGTTTAAAAGTAGGCAGAAGCATAAAAACATTTGTTTCAATAGTCTTGTAGAAAAAAACAAAGATCAAAATTGCATCATGTGTATAACAAATTATTGACTACCACCAAATGCTAGCTTGAATTGCTAAAGCGTACTTGCAAAAGCTGGTAAACTTAAATCCTAGTAACATAGAAACTGCTTGAATAGAAAAAAGCGCATCTTTTTACATATATCTTTCACAGGAATTAAAGGAGATTATCCATCTGTAAGGCTATTGGACAATCAGGATGATGCGAATCACATGCAAAGCTGACTTCATTACATTTTAGCAGTTTTAGTTATAGCTTTGCTAGTCGCACTTTGAGCAATTTTAGCAGAATAGGCTGGCATTGTCTGAAGCTTTTTTACTGCAAAAGATGAAAATATAATGTTTGATGGTCTGCATCGCATTAGACTTTTCGAATATCGTTCATATAATAATTCAACAATTAATTGTTGCAAGAAAATTAACTTTGGATCCACATCCATTATCTTCTTTCAGTTTTGTGTTTGAACAAAGAGAAACATGTTTTCTAGCCTATTTCTAGTTTCTATTTGTGAGAATATATAGCCATATAACTGATATGGATGCAATACTTACGAGAAATCAGCATATTACCTTTATAACTTCTCTACGAACACAAAAGAAGAATAGGATAATAATATACAGAGCACAAAATGCAGTGTGATGAGTATAGTACCATTGCCTGTATTTGCAATCCTTTTAAGTCTAAGCTCCACTTCACGGCGTTTTCAACCTTTTTCTCCTTAATCCCGGATTTCGTAAATCCCAGGCCGATTTACGAGATTTTGCCGAAGAAGCGCGCTAAAGTGGTGAAAGATCGTTACCTTCGCTGCGAGCAAGCTCCCGTCGTTACTTCCGATCCAACATCGTCGAACTGTCGTGACTTCCCGTCCGACAGGAAGGAACGTCGTTGAAGGAGGCGAAGAAGCTAGCGACTCGTGCAGGCAAAGTCGAACAGGTCGAAGGAGGCGAAGAAGCCAGCGAAGTCGAACAGCGACGAAGTTGTCGAAAAGAGGGGAAGCGATAATCCCTCGAGGCAATGACAATGGAAGAGAAAAATTCCTTAAGGTTGTTTGTCGGCTTGCAAAATGAGAGTTTTGGCGGATATTTGCCCTATTAGTTTCCAATTTGCATGGTTCGGAATGTTTCTACCTATTTTTTTTTTTTTTGGGACATTTAGGCCATTTAAGGCAAACTCACACACACAACGCATACATATAGACTCGAACCTTGGACCTCTTAGTTGGAAGTCTAAGCTCTCAACCAATAGGCCAAGGAGAGTTGTGTATTTGGCAGAATTTTGGCGCACCAGAAAACATTTGTGTAATAATGTGTAGAGAAAATCAAGGGAAGCATTAATCACCATATGCAAATTTCGGCAGAAATTTTTGTCAAATATTACAATAAGGGGCCATTTTAAGGTTAACAACAAATATTTCTTAATAGAAAACTGAAAATAATCAGTTGTGTATTCAGGGTTAAAAGTGGTAACAATATTCAAAATTTTCATGCTGATAACCAGGTGGAGACAATAAGCAATAGAATCATGGAACCAAAACCATACATTACTATTATATCAGAATCATCCTTCTCTACCAACTTCTTCTGCAGAAACTCCATCCAGAGATGGAAACTACACCTTTTCTCCTGCAAGCATCAGATAATTAGCTTTTAAGAAAGCCTTCGCCACAATAAGAAACATAGGGAGAAAAAGAATCTACCTTTATATTTCTTTTGTCAATTTCTTTAACTTTATCATCACCCAGAAATATGGATTCCTTGACTTTAGGTTGGGAAGAGATTACTCTGAATGGGGAGTCTGTGTGAATTGTTTTCATGACTGATCCGAAAAAATTAGTAACTGGCACCTGAAGATTATCCCAGTTAGAATATATGAGACCTTTTCAGCGCAAACAGTTAGAATATATGTGAATTGTTTTCATGACTGATAATTGTCTCTCTCTTTCTCAGCCTGAAGAAGAGACAATTATCAACACTAATGATCAAGAACATGATAAATATCCAAAACATTTTCTAAATCAAACTAGCCAATAGATTTAGGGTTGAAAGCTTAGGATACGAATAAGATTGTGTTGAGAATACAAATAAATACTTTAATAAACTTTATAAGCAGGCATAAACCGACGTCATACACATAATCAAGGAAGTTATTGCCCTTCAGTCCTGTATTTATCTCCTGTATACGGCAAAAACTAATTTGGAATATTTGCTCCAACAGATACGTGAATTGGAGAGGAATTCCGGCGGAGGCATGATGGTGGGCTTAGTTTGGAAGGTTTGCCCAAAGGATTGATGACTTGGACGCCGGCAGCCAAGCCATACAAGAAGAATTGTTATATTTCAAATTTATTGTAATTATTTCTCCCCTTAAGAATTGTATGGTTTCCTACATTGTTATAGGCATCATTTGCGTAAATACACATGAGATGAATAAGCAAACCAAGTTTTCTAGCCACTTCTTTTTTATAAGATATCAGAGCAAGTTAAGAGACCATCTTCTAACCTTTGTTTTTCTTCTCTCTTTCATTCTTACTCTTATCATCATGTCTACTTTTTTTCGACTTCCTTTCAAAGAGTTGACAATAAAAAATGTTGAAAACTAAACTAATCCTACCAAAGAGAAATTTCAAGGGCTACAAAGTTGGGCTTCGTTTGAGACTATTATCTTACTAAAATTTTTGTACTAAAAATCTACTTTAAGAAGCAATAAGAAAGTCATCCCAAACGAAATCTTGATATCATTTGAATGGCAAAAATTATCTATAGTGTCAAATTGAGAAAATATTTCTAAAAGGAAAAGAAAAAAAATCACCATTTGGTTAATCCTCCCCCGGATTTGAAATAAGAAAAGTTTAAACTTTAGGATAAAGAAAATCCTTGATTATGTCATGTTTATGGAACACCCCATGATACCTAAAATCAGTTGACCATACATATTCCTAAAAATCACAAAAAAAAAAAAAAAAAAAAGATAGCTGTCAATCATACCTACTCAAAAATTAAAAATGTCACTCCTATTACTACCAAGATATCAAGATGAAGTGTAAGGATGATGTGGCTCTAAAAAAAATATGTTGGAAGAGAAAGGTTAAGTTATTTAGAAAGTTGTCAATCATACTCACTCAAAAATTAAAAATGTCACTCTTGTTACTACCAAGATCTGAAGATGAGGCGTAGGGATGTTCTTGTGACTCTAAAAAAAAATAAGTAGGAAAAGAAAAGTTAAGTTTCTTGCATGATTCAATATTGAATTCAACCAAATTCATATTCAAATCTTGAGAAAGAGAACTAACCATCCCTAAAGGAGGTCTTCTCACTCATACAAACCAAAGAAGAAAGAATGATGGTAATGCTTGACACACTATTACATGATAAACCATACCAATACTTCATAAACCTACAAAACTTATAGTAGCAATAGCAAAGTTAAAGTGGTTGAAGGCTTCCAAATCACTGTTGTAAGTAAAAAAAAATACTACTTATCCAACATTTATTCTCAATAATATGCTACATTTTCCTAGTCATGCAGGGAATCTTCTAGACCACAACATTAAGGTGATATTCTTTACTTGTAATTATATATTTTAGGACCTTACTACAGAAAGGACAATGGGGCAGGGCAAGAGAAATATTTGTTATACCTACTGGTAGAGAATAAATACTTATCCTACTTCATATTTATTCTAATTAAAAACACTATTTGGGACCACCATTATAGCCTAGGACATCCCCATAAAATCCTTCTCTCCTTCATTTTTTATAAATCTTAATATTAAAAATTTTCATTATGAAAGTGAAACTATTAAATATCATATAATTCCCTTTCCTGAAAGTGCATCCAGATCCTATACTCCTATGATAATTCATTCTAATATTTCGGGACACTAAAAAATATCAAATATTTTTTAATCCAAAGGATATGTCACATTCATTAATGATTGCACTCAAATGATATAGGTTTATCTTATCAAACAAAAAACTGATTTCAACCATATTCTTTTAACCTTTTATCTTTATAATAAAAAATTAATTTGAAGTTACCATAAAAAAATGATGATTCTCAAGATTATTTTAATCAAAATTTATCTAATTTTCTCAATAGATGTATTTGATGTGAAACTATCATGCGATGAAATGTGAATTGCACTTGAAATTAATTGATATATTGAATCAAAGCTTGTTACTAAAACTTTATGCGTAATCAATTGAAGTTCAAGAATTAAAAGGCAAATAATTAAGTGACAACAATCTCTCCTCCTCATGTGGCCGGCCCCTTAATGGCCTCCCTTCCCTCTCCTAATCACATTAATGACTCCACAAAATCAGCCCAACTTTCTCCCAATTGAATGAGCAATAATCCTCCTCTTTAATTTGGGAATTCAAAATTGGATTTCACTTAATTTTCCCTCCCAAATCACTTAATCTGAAATTTAATTTCAGATTTCCATTCTCTCCCCAAATTGATTTGGGATTTAATTAATCTTGCCACCTAAGCAAGTAAATGACGTTTCCGTTTCACATCAGTATTATTCACCAATCTATCCATCCTGACAATCTACAACAAAAAGAGGTGATAGAAAGAAAAATCAGCATCTCCTAGAAGTTATCAAGATTCTTACTTCTCCAAAATCAAGTTCCCAAACAATATTTGAGAGAAACCGTCTGAACCTCCATAAATATAATTAATAGAATACCCTAAAAAATGACTGATTATACAAGCTCCCTCAACTAACTTGCTAATTTTTTTTTCTACACATTTTTTTTTAACTCCCTCAAAATATTTCTAAAAGTGAAATGTTTAAATCACAAACAACAACAGAATAATCTTAATCATAGGGCACTTAAACATGATTTTTAAGGATATTCATCCACTTAAAAAGGGTATAAATACAATCATCCGACCACTAAAAAAATTCTTCACTTAAAAAGATGTCACTTTTGATGAAAGATAAAATTTATTCACTTAAACTTGTCTTCAAGGAAAAACAAACAAATGGGGAAAAAAAAACTAATGAATTTAATAACTTCTTTCTTGATATCTGAACTACACAAACCCAAGAATAATGCATTACTCCTATCGTTAAAGCCCTTTGAGTCTATACAAAAAAGGATAAAGCCCATCCAAAATCTCTAGAGAGCTCAAGTCTCGAAATCAGAGTCAAATAATTCCTATAATAAGGATCATACTCATGCCTCTTTTCAAAATTTTCTCTTATGTATAAAGCCTTCCTTATAAATATCAACTCAAATACTTTTAAAATTCTAAAAACTTTATTTGAAAACATAGAAAGAAAAAATTGAAAAAACGTCATAAGAAAAGAGATCAATGCCTTAAAATGCACATTATTGAGCTACCAAAAGGAAAAACATCTATAGCATGCAAATGTGTTTGCAAAATAAAATACAAAGCATATAGAAGCCAATAACCATATAACAAAAGGTTAGTAACAAAAGGATATACTCAATCCTATAGGATAGACTAACAAGAAATATTTGCATCTATTACTACAATGAATAAAATTTGCATCCTAATTTCTTTGACTCATAACTATGGATGGTCTATGCAACAATGTGATTTTAAAAATGTACTTTTACATGGGAATCTTGAAGAAGTTTAAATCGATCCCCAACTAAAATTAAACAACTTCAGCCCAAAAAAATATGGTGTGTAGATTAAACAAGGAACTATATGGCCTCATGGTTTAAAAACCCATCCGAGGTGTGCGCCTTGAGGCGCGTCTCAAGGCTTAAGCCTCACCAATTCTTGTAAAGATTACACCTTTTTCATACAAGGCATACGTCTCAAAGCGTGTTAAGGCATCACCTCAAATACCTAAATTTAATTTAGGTTTTTTTTTATATTACACAATGGATAACCTATTGTCCCTACCCACACACATGCAAGTAGTACTTTTTTCTATTTGGATCGCGTTGATCTTATGATGGAGAGGCTGCGTGAGAGTTCTTCATCAATCCTTTGCATCATTTTGGCATTGAGTTCGTCTCCAACACGCGAGCAATAGTGCAAAACCTTAATGTCAAGCCCATCTTAGCACGCAAGCAACATATCAGCATCAATATTGTCTCCAACACGTGAGTACCCAAGGTTTCCTCGTTGATGCTTCGTCTTTACGTGCTTCACCTGCTTGGCGTAAAGTAGGGTTTTGAAGGAGTCGCTCAAGGAAGCTTCTTCGTCCCCTTCGACAACAACATTCTTGCAATATCGAAAGTCAAGACAGGAGCTCGCAACGAAGACAACAATCTTTCTTCCCTATCGCGCCCTTTTTATTTTTTATGTTTTTTTATTAATTTATTTTAATCGCGCCCTTCTTTGGCGAAATTTTGTTAAAGCAAAACAGAGAAAGAATTGGATTTAAGTTTACGTAGGATTTAAAGTCACGTTTTTTACTGTTTGGTAGAATTTAGGCTAAATCGTGTTCAAATCCACTGAAAAAAGAATGGGAATTATGTTTTTGTAGCATTTAAGGTTGTCAATTTTGTTGTTTAGCAAGATATAAGCTAAATCATGATTAAACTTGCTCAATTCCGCCAATGAAAGAATGTAATTTACGTTTTTGCATAATAGAAAGTTATCATCTTAGTTGTTTGGCAGGATTTAGGCTAAGTCATGCTTAAATCCTGCTGAAATCCATCGAAGAACCAGTGAGGAGAATGAATAAATCAATCTATTGAAGTAGTTTGGCTTTTACTTCACAAGTATATAAAAGTAAGAAGCAAAGTGGGGTTGGAGCTTCAAACAAAAATCTAAAAGTAATCTTAAATATAATGGATTTTTTGTGTAATTAATTTGTTATTTTATTTTAGAATATATCTAACACAATATTAACTGGTATAAGGGATAAAAAATTTTGTATTCGAAAAAGATTTTAAAGATGACTTTGACACAAACTACGACGAATCTTTTGAGAATGTCAAAGTGAGGATGAGACTGCCTTGGGTTTTGATCCTCAAAGCGCATTTAAGTTTTCAATGAGTGCTTTTAGTTCCAAATTTTTGTTTTATCATAATATTTACTTTCAAACAAATCATTATGCTTATGGTGTATTCATTTTTTGTCAATTTAACAAGTAATATATATATATAGAGAGAGAGGCTTACACCAAGGCGTGTGAGTCAAGCCGGCTCACGAGTCAACTCAAACTCAACTCATTAACAAGCTAGCCAATCGAGCTTATCGAGTTTCGAGTTCGAGCTTTCAATCGAGATTGTATAATATACGAGTTTGATTTCAAGCTAAGCCCGACTCAACTCAAAAACTCGTCAAGCGGCAAAATTAATTAAAAATTTTGATCAAACGGCCTGCAGGCCCTACATCGTCCGCTCCCAAGCCTCCCGTATTAGGTTTCACTTTTATGCCCTAACTCTATTATGTGATTCTTGAGAGCTTGCAATTGGTGATGGCTATGACCTGCGACTGTGTGAGAAAGATCTCCTTCTATGCCCTAGAGAGACGAGTGATTTCTTAGGTGAAAATATAAGGAGCTCCATTACTCCAACAAGTGATTTCCCTAAAGCTCTATAAGTTTTTTTCCAGTGTTATTTTCTTCAATTGGATTCGAAAAATCCGAACTCTTTGTGACTTTACCTAGTTCTATTCTGCAATTCTACTCTATTATCTCATTATGTACTTTGTTGTTGCTGCCTTTTGTTTCTTTCAGTTGCCATTTGATTTTACATCTTTTGAGGTCTGGTCGGATTCTATTTTTTGCCTTTGATGATGATGTTTTTTCCTTAATAAACAGACCTCTCCTCGAAAGGTCGATTGACAACCAGGGGAGTGAGGTCCTATGGTAGCTTGTTGATGTTGACTTGAACATATAATTGGTAATGTCAGTAGGTATTGTCGGTTCTCCCCTGTGTCCCCTCTCTATTGGATCATGGTTCATGTTGTCGTTGAGTTTTCTATTTTTTTAAGCTATGGTGTCTTGTTGCTACTGATTTGAACATACAGGTACTGACTTGAATACATGAGTTGTTGGTCGATTTGGCAACCATAGTTGGATGGCCACATATTATATTTATGGACAGATACTACATTTTCCTGCTCTTGGCAACCATCAAGTGGATGGTCACTTCTGGCTTCGGGAAAAATTTTGCCCGTGTTGCTTTATGAATCCTGCTAATTCTTGGAATGTAATTTGGTTTTCTAAGTTTTGAGTTGGGGTTAATCCCAAAAAACTATTCATATTATGATATTTATATCCTAAAATACTTATTCTCTCTATTTTTCAGGTTTGTTTCAAAGTTCAATCATCAATGATTCTAATGAGGAAATATTTCAAGATTTTTGTAATTTGTGAAAATTTTGCTATGGCTTTCTTATGTAACATCGTTAAAAGTTGTAATATTTCTAACTACATTTTATAAAAGGCTGTAAATATATTGATATACTTGAAGTCTTGAATAGTATAAGTTTTGTTTGGTTTTGCTTTAAGATGGTTTCTTAATTTGATAAAAAAAATTTCTATCTAAGTTTTACTTTAAAATCATCTTGTATCACAACTTCAAAAAAACAAATTGGATAAGAAATAATACTTAATTTTACTTTTTATTTATTAACTTTTATTTTCAATTTCATTTAGATATTTATTAACACTTATTTGTAGTGAAAATTAATATTTTAGTTAAAACTATATTTTTTTTTAAATTACAAGAAAAAATTTACAAAAAAAAACTTAAAATTTTAATTTATAACAGTAAAATTCAAGCTTTATAAACGAGCCGAGTTCGGCCATTTTAAACGAGTAGAGTAATCGAGCCAAACTCGAGCTTTTTTTTTACAAAGAGTTGAGTTCGAGCTCACTAAATGAGCTCGAGCTCAGTGTGGGCTAAACGAGCTCAGCTCGATAATGCCACTACTCGACTCGACTCGTTTACACCCTTACTTATGCCTCACCTGGCTAATAAGATAAAACATCTCGACTCCCGATTTCACCTTTTTAATCTTGTATAGCTTTAAACAATCCCCAAGGGCATGATTTGACATATTTACAAAATTAGACATAAACAAAGCTAAAAAGATCATGCGCTCTTCATAAAATATTCTATAGATGGAAAATTTCCAATTCTATTGTATATATTAACAATAATTATTAACTCGGGAAAAAAATTGCAAAATTTAAAATCAAAGAACTTGGGAAGCTCAAATACTTCATGGATATAAAAGTGGCTTAATCAATGAAAAAAAATTGTATAGCTCAACAAAAATATGTTATGGATCATATGAGAGAAATAAAAATAATTGATTACAAGCAATGTGAAATTCCAATTGAACCAGTCAAAAACTAGATAGAGATGAAGGAACAAAAGTTGATATGGGATAATATTAAAATTTGTTGGGAAACTAACCTATCTATCACATACACATACTGATATTGCTTTTGCAGCAAGTCATATAAAATAATTTATGCAAAACCCAAACGAATCTCATCTTAACTTAGTTATAAAGTTCTCAAGTGTCTAAACGCAAATCATAGAAATAGATTCTCTACAAAAAACATGAAACTCTACAAACTGTAAGTTATATTGACACTAAATATACGAGATCACTAGCATATGGTAGATCCACTTCAGGATATTACACATTATTGGAAGAAAATCTGATAACATGGAGAACCAAGAAACAACTTGTTCTCAAGATTAAGTGTTGAATCTTAATTTAGAGCAAGCGTTTAAGGAATCAATGAACTCCTTAAAATTAAAATTATAATGGAAGATTTAAAGATCAATAGAAAGGACCTAGGATATACTTGACAATAAGTTGACAATCCTATATATACAATATAGTCGAACAAAATAAGTTGAAGTGAATAGACATTTCATAAGAGAAAAAAAATGAAGATTTGAGTTAATTTTTACTCTGTGTTCCGACAAGGTAGTCAACTCACAGACATAGTTACCAAAAGTCTTTGCATTCCTGCATTCAAAAACATTTTATGCAAATTTGAAATGGAAGATCTCTACCATTCAGTTTGAGGGAGAATGTTAAGAAAACAAATAAATATTTTAATTAACTTTTTTTTATAGGCATAACCCACGACCTACACATATTAAAAAGAGTTATTGGCCTTTGATCCCATATTTATTTCTTAAAGTGAGGCAAATACCAAGGTGGAAGGTGTTCTCGTAAATATAGTTGATTGGAGACTAGCTCTGTGGTAGGCACGATGGTAGGTTTAGCTTGGAAGCTTTTCTCCCACTGATTGATAACTTAGGAGCGGACAATCAAATCGTATAAGAAGAATTATTACATTTTAAATTCATTATAATTATTTCTCTCTTTAGGAATTGCAGTTTCCTAAATTGTTATAGGTATCATTTGTATATAAATCTCCATGTGATGAATAAAAAAAACAATATTTCTAGCTACTTCTTGTCTACAGATTGTATATATTCAATTAAGAAATTTATTATGCTCATTTAGTTATGAAAGTTATTCTTGGTACCTTAAATCATTGATTGTAAAGCTGTAGAGTTTTTTCTTGTTTTGGTTTAGACTAGTTTCCTGATTTCTCTTCCTAAAATCGTCTATATAGTGTCATGTATCACTTACTTTCAAATCACTGACAAATTATTTATCATTGGCCTCCTCTTGCGACAATATGTTGTAGGGTTATTTGAATATTTATAGTTCAAAAGTGCAGTAATAATTGTAAATCAACTTCACAAAATATAATATATTCTTCTGTATACTGCCCCTATTATGTATAAGTTGGAAAAATAATAATATTACTCACAAAAGAAACCAAAAAAGCATGCTTGCTAAACGTCTCTATATAAGATGCAAGGCGCTAACAACATTATGCAACTAATATTTTTAGATAAAAAATGGAAGTTCATTCCTTCAATGAATACATAATTCATCTTTTAGTTTTGTAACTCTAGGTAGGCTTGCACGCTGATCTTGTTCCCGTTTATGTCAATGAATGGTGCCAAACCCTATCTATTGCTAAAAACAAAATGCTGTAGTAGTTACAATAAAAAAAAAAACATCTAAAGAACAGCAAAACATAATCATTAGTTAGCAAGTATCCAACAGGGATGAAGGCAGTTGAACAAAGCCATACCTCATCTAGTGGTCTTTGATAGAGATCCATCCGATAAAATGCAGTTGACATCAACAAGTTCGGATTATATGAGTGAAAAAGACTGAAGATGTTTAAAAAAAAAATAAAACACCACCATCAATAAAAGCTTTGTTAGGCAAAATAAAAGACTAAAAAGTTAACTGTGTGAGTAGATTTCACAAAAATTCAATCACTGCAAACAGGGCTGACAGAAGTTATATTAATTTGTAAAAGCAGAAGAAAAATAATAAGATTGAAGTATAAAAAAAAACATTAAGATCAAAAATTATTCACGGAAGTGACAATAAGCATGGCCAAGGGTGAAGCTACATGTGGCGTGCCGTAATCCTTCCCCTCATGACTCAAATGTATTCACCATCATTCATCATCATCATCCATAAGAATTGGCAGAATTTATTGAGTATTTCAATCCAACATGTGTAACATTTGTATATCCACCGAGAGATTCTAATAAGAACAAAATAAAATTAAGGAATAATAATTACCAAATTATTATAACAGTCCAGGGATTGATAAATCGGTAAAAAATTAATACAGAAAAATTGTAATAGTCCAGAATAATAATCAAAGAATAATTGAAAGTCCATAAAACACATAAATTGATTAGTAACAGTATGGATCCCTTAAATCAATGGAAGAAAAGAGGACTAAAGTTGTTGACCCTTTACCGTAGCCAGCAAAGCAGAACAAAAAAAAAAAAGAAATTTCAAATCTCACCTTCTGTTGACCTGTTGAAATAAAAAAAAAAAAAAAAAAGAAAAGAAATTTCAAATCTCACCTGCTCTCTGCCAAACCCACGATCTCGGCACTACTCGCATTACTCACGTCGTCGCTGCACTTCCCACGACCTTCACATAAGGCTCGCACGACTCGTTTGAGTCATTAAATACCAAAGGAAATGAGAGAGCTCGACTCTCGCTGCCTCGCCCTGGCTCCCTGTTCTTCATCGCTCTCCGATTGCTCTCCCGCTATCTCGCTCCGCTCTTCTCTCCCTCTTCGCCTCCTTCCTGGTTGTTCGACTTCGCTCCTTTGGCGACGTTCCTTTCCGGTCGGACGGGAAGTCACGACAATTTGATCGGAAGCAGCCAAAAGAGCTCGTTGGCTGTGAACAAACTTTCTCCCTTTCACGGGCTTCTTCGGCCGAGACCCCAATCCCGTCTCCTCCTCCAACCGAACCCTTGCCTGTGTCGATCCCTTGCGCAAGCCGAGAGAGAGAGAGAGAGAGAGAGAGAGAGAGAGAGAGAGGAGTCTTTCCCCTACCTACAGCCGAACTCCAAGCCTCCGATTTCTCTTCCCATCCGCAAGCCAGAGAAGCCTTGCCCGATCCCCTCTTCACAGGTAGTTTAGGTTAAATTATTTATTAATATCTAAACTATTATATATATATATACACACACACATATACATTTATGTGTGTGTGTTTGTGGGAGGATTAAAAAAAAAGAAAGATAAAATACAAAAAAATATGTACTTGCAATGCTTCTCCCGCCTCGGTCTCCGTGCCCTCCACCGCCGATTAGCCGGCCGCCAAAGGTATAACTTTTTGAACCCTTGTTTGCTCTCTTACCTTGGCATGTGTGTCGAGTCGGTGGTCTGCCCATACACGCTTTTCTTAGCGTGGTGGGAAAGGCCCAGTTTTCTCGTAGTTTTCCCCTAAACAGGGGAGACGCCGGGAGGCTGCCGAAATTTCGGGTGAATGTACGATCACACTCGGACCTGTTTGAACTCAAAAGAACAAAGATGTGGACTCAAATTGAACATTTGAACTGGCACAAAGATCTGATTTGGACTATAAAGGACTTGCACTCAAACAAGGACAGTGGACTTGGGACCTAAATCAGAACAAAACTCAAGTGACTAATGAAAAGGCCAAATGAAATAAAATCAAAGTTTGAACCAAATTCAAATCAGTTTGAACAAAATTGAACTTGCAAGGACTTCAGAAGATCCTGAACCAAAGTCACTTAAACTTATACTCTGAACTCAAACTGGATCCAAGCTCAACATGAACAATGAAGGACCCGAACTTTTAAGAATGACAAGGGACTCGGTCTTGCATTTGATTTGGATATCAAATGAGATGAACAAGACTTTGAACAAAGACTTGAACTTGTTCTATGAACTCAAACCTGTTTCAAATCAAGCTTTAAGTGCACTTAAACAAATATGCAAGGGCCTGTGCCAAAACTTGTAAACCCCAAACTCTACTTGAACACTTGGACTCAAAATAAACTCGGGCAATAAAGGACTGGTCATACTCAATGCGGCTCATCTATGAGCGATAAAAGAATCCAACATGTAACAGGTTGGCAATAAAGGTGTATTCGAAGAATCCAAAGCAAATACAGCCTTTGCACAATCAATGTCATTTGATTGTAAATAAAAGCCACGCTCTCCTACAAGACATATGATGAATGGAGATACAAGCAAGTACACTACAACCTCAACACGTATAAATAAAGAATGTAGTGGACCTTTACAACAGTCCCTACGAGATCGGGAGCATCGTACCTGCGAGAATAATGAATGGCTGCAAAATATACGAGTACTCCTCCTACCTGTACTGTTGGAATCTCCTACGACAATCCCTATAAGTACCTGTTGATTGAGAAGGCAACATTGGAGATCAATAGTCAAAGAACTGCCCCTATAAGCAAGTACAATCAGCAAAACCACCCGAGATTGGTGAAAGGATAGATATGATGCAGAAAGAATGAATCTCCTGCAAACATTTTCTAGGAGGTCGTAGTGGATACAGCGGTCCTCTGCAAATTGATACTTGTGGATAACAACAGTGTTTTAAAAGAACAACGAATCACTGTGGACACAAGTACAGATATCACCTACGATAGCGGTGACCAAAATCTCCAAGTATGTCGGGTACAAGGGCAACTCGATATATGAAGAAGGACACCTCCTGGCAGAATGGGAGGAAAGTTCAAACAAATTAGAACTAAACTTCATGGTGTTCCAAAGTTTCTTCCTTGTCCCATCCTTAGGAAGAAAATAATTCTGATGTCTACAAATACCGAAAATAACGGTCCGCTACACCAAAGATCCTGAAAGGAGTTCTTTCCAAATCAGCAGTCATTGACTCCAAGTTTCAATAAAATCCCATCCCCGATAAATGAGGAAAGGGGAAAGGGGGAGTCAACATCCACGCCACTGAATCTGTAACTTCTATGCAAGCGGACAGAAGACGTCTACAAATACTTTCAAAGTACCCCCGCACGTACACCGTAGCTTGTATACACATAGGTACACTAAAAGGGGTAAAAGCAATCATAAAACCCGCAAGGGCCCCGACGAGCGTGTTATTGGTACACATGTGGCATCTAGGGATGCTGCGCGGGTTATTAAGTTTAAACTCGATCCTCCTTAACAGGTAAAAGGAGTCAACATGGTTTAATTATGAAATGCCCCCAAACACCCGCATGGGCCCCGGCGAGCGTATTGGTACACACGTGACGTATAGGGAAGCTGCACGGGTCAATAAGTGAATTCAAGTTCGAACCCGATCCTTCTATATGGGTCAATAGAAGTCGACAGGGTTCGAACAATCAAACAAGTATATGGTGAATGGTGACCGGTATATTTGTTTCAATACATTCATATCAGGCCTTTAAGACTCATAACAATGAGAATTCACTATCAAGGGCATGAAGCCTACAAAACCCGATCCTCCTAAGCATGTAAATAGGAGTAGACAAGGTTCAAACCATAGGATAAATAAGCGTTCACGAAGTCGACCAGAATATTCATCTTATACATTCATATTCGGCCTTCAAGGCCTTCAAGGCCTTCAACAAAGAAAATTCATGAACAAAGGCATAAAGCCTACGAGAAATCGAATCCCCTATTGTTAAGTTGATAGGGTCGACAAGGTTCAATCAAATGGAAATGACCTCAAACACCCCAATGATGGCCGTGCTGAATGTTTATCTCAACCTGAGGGATTAATTTTAGGCGTTTCCAAATGCCTCCCAAAAGTCCATCCAAAATCCAAAATTTTCAAATTCCGTCCCAAAGTCAAGATATTTAAAGCTGAAATCAAACCATCAATCACTTAAAGCAAAATCCATTCACCATCCGCAACAGTTTGCAGAGGTGGACAAATTCAAATATTACTTCAACTCACAAAGAGCCAAATGCCTAGTCGAAAATATCACTAGGAACCATTCTCAAACAATCTTCTGCTAGTAAGGACGTGGTACGTGTCCTCTAACCTGCGGTTTGTCGCCAAATGGCACCGCAGGATAAACGGTTAAGACGACCCGGGGCCCTCTGAACCGAGTGGTTTTGCTGCCAAATGGCACCACGATATACCGGTTATGGCCAGAGCCAATACGCTCCTTATTGGCATCAAATCCTTGAGATATGAATCAATATGATATGATCGATAGGGCACAAAGCCCTCTGTCAACTAAGGTGGATTCAAATTTGTCCCCTTAGACAAACATTCCCCCCAGGTCTACAAGGTCCCCTTGGACGAAGCAACCCATGGCTGCCGACAAGGATCCTTCTGTCAGGTTGGGTCGACTACCTCCTCTGACTAAGTAGACCATAGACCACGATGGCCCGGAATGACGGAACCATGGGATCTTGATCGGGCATATCATCCAATCCCCCACCATCCGCTTTAAGTGCAAGATGGTGAAATTTTCTATTTTAAATATCAAATCTTCCAACCCAAATATCCAATCTCTCCAATTTTCAATCTATTGCTGCTACTATATGCCAGATAACACGTATATTCTACGTATCTGATTGAGGACTAGCCTTAATCGAAAGTTCTCTCGTGATCGGGAGGGGTAATTAACTATAGGGGCTTGCGCCTATAGGAAACCAGAACTCAGATCATAAAGTCCTCGCATAATGAGGGCGAAATCTCTGAATAGTGTCTTATCTACAAACACATCTGCCTTCCAAAATTTATCTCAGAACTTAACAGTTAAAACTCCATCGCCGAATAAATAGGAGAAAAAGCAAGTGGGCGGAGGCCGGGGCCGAATTTTCGGAGCCCACAAAAGTCTTAGTGAGTTTGAGTCTCACCTGGCAAAAACTATACAGACGTTTCACTCCACCTCATGTGAATGAATGGATGTCAATCTCAATCTTATTTGATATATAAGAAATTGCCCCTGGTAATTTGATAGGAAATACTTGAGTTCGCAAGTAATCCAAGGGGAAATAGTTGAGTTTGCGAGCAACCATAGCAATAATTGGCCCAAAACATTGAGAAAACAAGAAAAATATAGATGAAATCAAACTAAGAGTGATAGATTGTGATAGAAGAATCAAAACAAACAAACTCCAAGCAAGATACAATTGATCGTCTATTCAAGAGGAGGATCGTCTCTACCATCTCTAGATTGTGGATCTAGAGCTCAAGACACCAAGGAGATTCTAAGAGAACAACTCAAATCATGCATAACCCTAACCCTAAACAAACCATATTATTAATACATTAATTCCCTAATTCAAACATCCAAAATTCAAAATTTCTCTCTCTCCCAAGCTGCCCAATCCTCTCTTCTTAATTTCCTCCTAATGGGGCCCGCTAGATTGGGCTGCAAAAGAACCAAGGAAGGCGGCACTTATCCGCCTCCTGTAAACCTAAGCCAAGGTTGAACCGGCCTAACAATACCGCCCTCCTGAAGAATCACCTTATCCTCAAGGTGAAAATTAGGAAACTGTTGTTTCACCCTCTCGTATGGTTCGCATGTGGCATCATACTCAGGCATATTCTTCCACTTTATTAGCACTTCCTTAGCTCCATCTTCTTTTTGGTGAACCCCCATCAACTCTAAGGGTTTTAGAATTACCTCTAAATCCTCAGTAAGTGTTGTCGGTAACTCCGAGTTGGCTGTATAATTTCCAATGGCTCTTTTCAATTGCGATACATGGAAAATCATATGTATAGTCATCGTTGGTGGTAGTTTCAGCCGATATGCTACCGCTCTAATCTTCTCCAATACTTCATAAGGTTCAAAGTACCTTGGAGCAAACTTCTCATTCCTCCTGTTGGTGACTATCTTCTGTCTGTATGGTTAGAGCTTCAAGAATACCCTCTCCCCCACTTCGAATTGGATGTCCTTCATATGCCCAACAGCTTGTTTCTTCATAATCTGTTGAGCTCTCATTAGATATCTCTTCGACTCCTCTGGCACTCTATCCCTCTCCCCCAAGTACTCCTCCACTAAAGAAATTAGAATACTGTTATTCCCAAAGTGCACAAAGTGAGGAGAATCCCTTCCATACAACACCTTAAATGGGGTCATTTGAGAAGCAGAAGGAAAAGAGGTGTTGTACCAGTACTCAGCCCATGATAGCCACTTGGCCCATAACCTGGGTGTCTCCGACACAAAGCATCTCAAGTAGGTCTCCAAGCTCCTGTTGACCACTTCCGTTTGGCCATCCATATGTGGGTGGTAAGCGATGCTCCTCTTCAGAACTGTCCCCTGTAATATGAACAAGTCCCTCCAAAAGTGGCTGAGAAACACAATATCTCTATATGGATACTATCGCCTATGGTACTCCATACAATCTGACCACCTCTCTGATGAAAGCTGAAGCTACTGTTACTACCGTGTATGGATGTCGTAGGGGAATAAAATGAGCATATTTACTCAATCTATCTACCATGACCAAGATTATTGTGAATCCCTCAGAACGTGACAGCCCATATATGAAGTCCATAGACACCTCCTCCCAAACTCATCCTGGTACGGCCAACGGCTGTAATAGTCCTCCTTGTGATATAGTCAAATACTTGTTTCTTTTACAGACCTTGCATCTAGCTACCATCTCCTCCACATCCTTATGCATCCCCTTACAGTACAGCTCCGTCGCAATCCTCCTGTAGGTATTTAGCACCCCTGAGTGACTTCCAATTGCACCTCATGGAACTCCTGAAGCATGTATGGAATGTGGATTGATGTCTTGGGCATTACAAACCTCCCTTGGTACAAAAGTCTCTCCCCTTAAAGTGAGTACCCCGGGTGACTACTTCATTCCTTTAGTAATTTGACCTTGATCCTGCCCAACTCCTCATCCCTAGCACTCTCCTCTTTGATGGCCTCCCAATCTAACATCATTGGGATGGATACTTCCATTGTCTACAGGTCTCCCATGCATCTGGAAAAGGCATTTTTCACCTTGTTCTCCACTCCGGGCCTATACTGAATCTCAAAATCACACCCCAGCAACTTGGACAGTCAACTCTGATGCTCCTCTATCATCATTCGTTGTTCCAGCAAGTATTTCACCGCTGATCGATCCTGATAATGAAATGCCTCCCTAGAAGGTAGGCTACCACTTTTGGATGGCCAAAACGATGGCCATCAACTCCCTTTCATAAACTGACTTTAGCCTGCCTCTAACAATCAACACCTAGCTGAAGTAGGCAATGGGTCGACGATTCTGCATAAGTATTGCCCCCAGTATGTACCCTGAAGCGACTGTCCCCACTATAAAGATCTGAGTGAAATCTGGCAAAGCTAGGGCCGATTTTGTAGTCATAGCCTTTTTCAAGCTCTCAAATGTTGATGTGGCCACCTCCCCCCATAGAAAATCGTTCTTCTTCAACTACTCAGTGAGTGTCCATGCTATGGTGTTGTATCCCTTTACAAACATTTTGTAGTAACCTGTCAGTCCTAGAAATCTCCTCAACTCCTTCAGATTTTTAGGCACTGGCTATTTCAGCATTGCCTCAAATTTGAACTGATTTAATGTCACCCTCTCTTTTGATACAACATGGCCAAAGTACTCTACATTGGCTTGTGCGAAGCAGCACTTCTTCAAGTTGACTCGCAACTGATGCTCCCGCAATACCTCAAACACCTTCAAATGCTCCCAGTGCTCCTCTTCTGTCCTGCTGTAGACTAGGATTTCATCAAAGAATACCAATACAAATTGTCTGAGATAAGGTTTGAAAACCTTATTCATAAGTGCCTAGAAAGTGGTTGGAGCATTGGTGAGGCCAAAAGGCATCACCAGGAACTCATAGTGTCACTCGTAAGTTTTGAAGGCAGTCTTGGCCACATCCTCCTCTTTCATTCTGATCTGATGGTATCCTGATTTTAGTTCTATTTTGTTGAAGATCACTGCTCCACTCAATTCATCTAACAGCTCGTCTATAACTGGTATGGGAAACTTGTCAGGTACAGTTTCCTTGTTGAGCGCCCAGAAGTTCACAAAGAATCGTCAGTTGTTGTCTTTCTTCTTCACCAATATAATAGGACTATAAAAGGGACTAATGCTGGGTCGAATGATTCTTGCCTCCAGCATCTCTCTAATCAACTTTTCAATTTCATCATTTTGAAACTAATTGTAGCGATAGGGTCGTACGCTGATGGGTGACACACCCTCTCTCAAAATGATGGCATGCTCATGTTCCCTCGATGGTAGCAATCCTTGAGGTGGCTGAAACATCTCTTGGAATTGTTGAATCAGCGACTGTATGGAGAGGGATATGTCCCCTCCCTCTTCCAATCTAGCTTCCTACAAACTGTGCAACTCCATTAAATATCCTCCACCCACCAACTGTAAATTCCTCGCCATAGTTTTAAGAGAAACCATTGATTTGGGAGGGCGGTATAGTTAGGCCGATTCAGCCTGAATTGGCCCAGTCGGCCTCAGATTTATAGGAGGCGGACAAGTGCAGCCTCCCTTGATTCTTTTGCCGCCCAAGCTAGTGGGCCCCACAAGGAGGAAATTAAGGAGAGAGGGTTGGGCGGCTAGGGGGAGAGATAAATTTTGAATTTTGAACGTTTGAATTAGGGAATTAATGTATTAATAGTATCATTTGTTTAGGGTTAGGGTTATGCGTGATTTGAGTTGTTCTCTTAGAGTCTCCTTGGTGTCTTGGGCCCTAGATCCACAAGCTAGAGATTTGGGAGAGACGGTCCTCCTCTCAAATAAATGATCAATTTTATCTTGTTGTTTTCTTCTGATCTATTTGATGCTTGGAGGGAAAATTCAAATGAATGGGTTGTTTTGGCATTTGCATTAATTTTTATGCTTTAAGTAATTGTCTAACCTAGTGTTAGGGTTATGTTTTGATTTGGCTGAATTTGAGTTTCCTAAAGGTAGAGAGGGCTCTAGTTCGTGGTTAGGGTTTGGGAGAGCTGGATCTTCCTCTCCAATTAAAGATTTAATTGTATCTTGTCTTTCTTTCATAGTTACTTCAATCAAAAGGGGTTTTATTTCTGGAAGAATTGAAGTCAACGGTGGAGCAGCCACCCACCCCCATAGCCAAACAACACTTAAAAAGCCAATATTAACTCAAAAATGAAAAATGAATACACTTGTTCCGCTTAATTTTTTAATGTTTCCTATAAATAAATTTTTTAAGTTTCCTATCAATCTTTGTATTTTCCTGAGACTAAGATCAGAATCTTATCACTATTCCTAAGTGGCAAATTCACTCTTCCCCTTTTACTAGCACCCTCCCGATTGAAGAAAATAGGCATATTTGTGCATACAGGACTAACAGAAGCTATACTGATTATTAAAACTAAAAGAAACAAGATAAAAATGAAGAATAAGAAAGCATAAAGATCAACAATTTCCGGTTGAAGTAAGGTCAAGGGTGGAGCCAACTCTTATAAAGTCAACATAACGCAATAACAAATACAGTCATTAACCCGCTCAATTTTTTAAAGCTTCCTACTATTTTTTTTTTTTTTTTTTTTATGTTTCTTTACAATTTTTGTATGTTCCTGAGATTAATATCAGAATCTGGGATTCCAAAAATTACCACCATTCCTAGTAGGCATCATCATTCTCCCCCTCTACAAAAGAACGACTTTATTAAAAACATCAAGTTACTAAATCTGCTTCCTCAATGACTTGAAATGGACATGACTTCACTTCTCTCTTCTGATGGAAGAAAGTAGGCATAAGTTTTCCTTCACCATCATCATTAACCGATCAAAGACACAAGACAGGCTTCCCTAATTTCGCTGTTGTAGTGCAGCTTGATTATGATCTCCACAAAGAAACCAATGCCAACAAAAGAACACCCAAAAGCTCAGACAAGTCGCAATTCTTTCCATGAAATACTTGCATAACTGCTTCCATGACTTCAACAAGCCCCTTATTTTTAGGTAATTGTTTTCATGCTAGTCGAGCTAAATTTTGGTGCCTGTCTTAACTCTCAAAATGGTAAGACAATACATTTGAAGCATCGCATAATTAGCTTCAAAATATTTACATCTGATGGAGCTTTTCTAATAAAAACTGTACTAAAGTCAAAAGGACCTGAGGTGATACGAGACGGTGCCCTAGCCGCCTCCCCCTTCCCGTGACTTTGAGTTCCCCTCCTTTTTCTCCTGGCCGCCACCGGCCTTCCGCCGGTGGCCATCATGGATCAGCTGGGTCAGCTTGACGCCAGCCTTTTCCCCCCTTTGGTAAACTCTTTGGCCACTTCTTCTAACCCTAAGTCTCCTCTTCGTCGTGTGTTAGACCGTCTCTGGTCTAATATCATAGCTGAGCCAGCTCCTTCCTCTCCACATATCCCTGTTTCTCTCATCGAAACTCCAGAGGAGATCATCCCGTTTAACAAAGAATTTACCGATGTTGCTGCTGCAGAATGGAATCTCTGCCTTGTCGGGTATTCGATTGGTAAGAGGCCTTACTATGAAGCCCTTAAGGAAACATCTAAGCGTATTTGGAAGCTTAAAGGTACATTTCAACTCATAGCTCTTGCAGATGGGTTCTTTCTCTTCAAATTTTCGTTGCTGGAAGATTTCGATATGGTTTGGTCAAAAGGTGCGTGGTTTTTTCATGGAAAGCCATTTATTTTCCAAAAGTGGACCAAAAACTTTCATCCTACCAGGGAAAATTTTACATCGGTGATGATTTGGGTTAGGGTGCATAATTTGCCCTTAGTATGTTGGAATTCGGAAGGAATTTCCAAAATAGCTTCTAAAATAGGTATTCTGATTGTTGTTGATGCCTTAACTGCTACTAAAACTAGATTAACTTATGCTAGAATTTGCATACAAGTTTCTACTTCTCTTTTTCTGGATACATTGGTTGTGTCTATAGAAGGGGAGGTTATCAATCTTCAGGTCCAATATGAATGGAAGCCTACACCGTGCACCTCCTGTGCCTCTCTAGCTCACTCCTCTACTCAATGCCCTTCATCTCAACATACTGAGAAAAATGAGATAACACAGTTTAGGGGGCGTGGTACCTCTCGTAATCCTCATAAGAAATCCCAAATGCGCCCTGGCTCTTCAACTCAGAGGTATGCCCCTGTTATTAATCCAGCTTCCACCCCTATTACTCAAGCAGCCTCCACCTCTGTGCTTTCCATGGTTCCCTCACAAGTTGATATTCCCCCTATAGCTCCTCCTAAAGTCCCTCCTTCTGCTGTTTCTGCAGTGGTAAACGTTGAGCATCCTGTGCTCACGGCTTCCCTGCAGAAAGAGGTTCCCCCACCCATCATAGCTGAGACTATTATCCCAGAATTCACTGAAGCTTCTGCTTCTGACAGTTTAAAAATTTCCAATCTCAACTCACCTACTGATGAAGGTTTAGGAGATACGGATAATTTGAAATTTCCTTCTCTAAAACCCCCCAATATACAGACTAACAACAAGTATTCGTACCTTCAGGGATCGGAGGATTTAGCCTTTCTGGCTCTGAAAATGACAGCTCCTCTTTTTCGGAACCTATAACAAATATCAAAGAGAAGAAAAAAATTTCACCCCAACCCAAGAGCACTAGAGGGAAGGGAACCAAAAAGCCACCCGCCTATTCCTCTAAGCATAAATGATTTGCCCTACTATAGCTGCTTGGAATATTAGAGGTTTCTCTACCTCTAATAAGGTGACTCACTGCAAAATGTTAGTCAAAAACTTTAATCTGGATATGGTCTGTATCCTGGAAAACAGAATTCAGCTTTCTAGCCTCTCGGATGGGGGCTTTTACAACAGCCACTTGATTTACGATGTTGAATCTAGTTGCAACAATTTTCACTGTGCTAACTCAGGCAGAATTTGGATTAAATGGAGTCAGGATAGGATGTCTTTTAATCCTATTTTTTTCTCCTCACAAATGATAGCTGGAATGGTCTCTTTTGGTTCTAACTCTCTTTTTCTTCTCTCGGTTGTCTAGGCCTCTAATTTGCTGGAGGGCGGAAAAATTCTATGGGAAGATCTGAAAAATATTTCTCCTGTTGCTGGTATTCCCTGGATAGTTATGGGGGATTTTAATTGCTGTAGGTTCCCTTCTGAAAAGTTAGGTGGGAATGTGCTTATTCAGAATCAGCTTCATGATTTTAATAGCTTCATTTTTTACTCGAATTTGAATGATTTGGCTTCCATTGGACCTTCCTACACGTGGTTTAATCAAAGGACTGATAATCATATTCACATCAAATTAGATTGTATGCTGGTAAATGAGCATTGGCTTCCTTCTTACCCTGATTCATTCTATATGGTGAAGAATCCGGATGGCTCAGATCATCGTCCGATTATCCTTAAATCTGGTGTTACTTCTCCCACTCATCATCGGTTTCTATTTAAAAATTATTGGTTAAAAAATGAACATTTCTGGTTCCTTTTATTTCAGATTTTTGCTGTTAAGTCTAAAGATAATCCTTTAGTGGATTTGTGTTCCAAGCTCAAATTATTGAAAGGAGAAGTTAAAGGGAAACGTTGGGCTTCTTCCAACTCTATGGTTGATATTATAAAGAAGATTTAAGACAAGCAATCTGCCTGTCTTGATCGTTTGCAGGCTGATGCTGATCTCCTAAATACTTCCATTGAGCTTAAAAAGAATCAATCAGGAGTTGGATGCTACCACCTCTATGTGGTTCTCCTGGGTGAATCAGAGAGCTAAGTCTAAGTGGTTAGCTCAGGGAGAGGATGATCTCAAATTCCTCTATACTAGAATACATATGAGGAGAAGTTACAAAAAAACTGCTATCACTTTGGCTATGTCCAAATCTAATTCCTCCATGCCTGATGCTATCAAAGATTCTATTTCTCACTTTCAACGGCTCTTTAATACTCCCAGGAATTTGGATTTCAATATCAACCTGTTCCCCTCTGGTAACATTATTCCCCCTGATTATATTGATTCTCTTACTTCCCCTTTCACAGATAAGGAGATTAAATCTGCTGTATTCTCGGGAGCATCAAATTCTACCCCAAGTCCTGACGGGTTTAATTTTGAATTTTTTAAGTCCACTTGGCTGGTTTGTGGACCCTCGGTATGCTTCGCTGTAAAGTATTTTTACAGTAATCCTTACATCCCTCGTGCGGCTAAAGCTACTACTCTCACTCTCATTCCTAAATCTAGTAATGCTGGTGATATTGCTGATTTCCGTCCCATTGCTCTTTGTAATACCATTTACAAAATTATTGCTAAAGTTTTGGCTGTGAGGATGAAACCCATTATGCCTCATATCATTAAAGAAAATCAAGCTGGATTCATCCTTAACATGATTTCTACTGATAATGTTTTACTTGTGAATGAGATTCTACAATTTTCTAGGAAATTTTCTAAACTCAAGCTTATATGTGTTAAGCTTGATATCAAAAAAGCTTTTGATAGTGTATCTAGGGAATTTCTTTTGGCCATGATGCTTCAAAAAGGGTTTCCTGCTATCTTTGTTAAGTGGATTGAAGCTTGCATTTTGGATGTATGGTTCTCATTATGTATCCCTTGAAGGTTTCTTTCCTTCTACTACTGGGCTTAGACAGGGCTGTCCGTTGAGTCCTTACCTTTTTAGCATTGTAATGGATGCTTTATCGTGTTTACTAGATTGTAATCTCATTGATAATAGGTTTGAAGCTCTTTCTATTGGAGACTATAGGCTTTCACACCTAATGTATGCTGATGATCTGATTATATTTGGGAAAGCTGACAGCAACAATTGTGACATCCTTAACCAAATTCTTCACAGCTTCTCTTATGCCTCGGATCTATCTGTGAATTTTCAAAAAAGCTCTATCATTCTGCCTCCTTCCTGTTCTAATGCTGAGGAGATTTGTTCTATTCTGAATATTAATGCTCCGTCCCCTTCTATGTTCTATCTGGGGATTCCCATTTCCCCCTATAATCCTAAGCTGGCTAGCTTCTCTCAGCTTTTGGAAGGTGTTATTAAAAAGTTATCCGGATGGAAAGCTAAGGCTTTATCTTTTGCAGGGAGGCTTCAATTTTTAAGATACACCGTTTGGAACACTATTGCATACTGGATAAAGGGAAGCATAATACATAAAACTATTCTTAAGCAAATAGATAGGGTATGTGCTAAATTTCTTTACTTTGGTGATTCTAGGGGCAAGAAAATGCATCTAATCTCTTGGAGAAATACATGTAAACCTAAATCTTTGGGGGGCATAGGCTTACCCTCTTTACATTCTCTTCAATTTGGGTACAACTGCTCTCTTATTACTAGGATTTATAACTCTCCTAGTCCTCTTGCCACCTGGTTATTTCATGCTTATATCTCCCCTTGAAAGGAACCTTGTACTAAAGCTTCAAAATTCTAGAAGAGTATTTGTAAGGATGCCTGTACAGCTAAAGAAAACTTTCATTTTAGAGTATCTGTGCACTCTAAGTTTGCCCTTTATTGGGATCACTGGTTTTGGGATAAGAAAGATATAGAGGAAGTTCAGCCTTTTCTTGCCTCATTTCCTGAGAATGAAAGTATTAAGGTAATTCTTAATGATTCTGGATGGGTATTGCCTGATTATTTGCCTGTTGTTGTACACCGTGCTTTCTCTGATCTTCCAATGCTGTTGGAAAAACAAAACAATCTTTTTTGGGGCGCTGGTAAGAAAGTTAAGCATAGGGATTATAGGGATTTTTTTTACAAAGATTTGATTAAAACAAACTGGTGGCATTTTGTGTGGCATAAGAGGTATGTCATTAGGTTTTCCTCTTTTTGCTGGATGGCCTTATCTGGAGGTTTAAAAACTGTTGATATTCTAAGATCTAGGGGAATGGATGTCAATTCGGATTGCTCTTTATGCCATTCTGGTTATGAGACCGTCAGTCATTTATTCTTTGAATGTGACTATTCGTTTGCTGTGCTCAAATCTCTCTTGAAATATTTGGGTAATATGCTTTTAAGACCATCCATCTTATAAATATTTGAGTATACTAATGAAAAGTATAAAAAGGGGAAGGAGTTTTACTTCCTGATCATTTGTTGTGCTGTTTATTATATATGGAGAGAAAGGAATGAAAGAAAATTTAGTACTAATTTGGTATCCTCTACTAACTTAGTGCATAAAATTAAAGCTGCTGTTTTTGGCAAGATTATTAAATGGAAAGAAAGGGATGATCTGATGGAGCTGCTCTGAGCTGTATTGTTTTTCTGTTATGCTGTGTTTCTGCCACTGTTGGATGGTTTGTTGCTGGATCGGGATGAATATTACTGCAGTTCCTGTAGTTTTTTTGGTTGCTGGTATTCCGGGCAAGGATGATAGATTTGACTTTTTCTCCTTTAGAGGGCAGAATTTTTGGGCTATTCATTTTGCAACCAGGTTGAGAGAGCGGCAAATCCTGAGCCCATGGGTTCTTTCTCAAACCCATTGTTTCTGGTTTTGTTGGCTGTTTTTTTCTCTTCCTTTGTTTTTCCTCTTGTTGCAGGCCTTTTTATGGGGATTTTTGTATTTTATCCCCTGTTTTTAGTCCTTAGTTTTTTTTTTGGTAAAGATTTTTCTTTACAGTAACTTTCTTTTACATGTAACTATTTCAGTTTTATGAAAAGGGCTATGCCCATAATTTTTCCAAAAAAAAAAGGACCTGTCATTTTGAATTCAGCATTAAGAGTTTGTAAATAAGAGATGTTTTAAGAGATCCATTTTACCTGCCCAATGAGGCATTGCTATACATGTTGAGTTTCTCGAAAAAAGCGAGCGTGTAGAAAGTAAATCTATCCACCACGGAGACACCAATCTAAGACAATAAAATTTTGTGCATGTTTACTATTTTACTTCTGAAATAAAAATAAAAAAATTTGAGTAAATTCAGCAAAAGAAAGAACATTGGCAATCACGATGATCTTACGTCAGAATCAAGATGATGGGAATATGAGTTTTCTCCTTTCTTACTGCTCCCTATGGCCAAAACACCCGGTGAATGAAGCTGCAAAATTTCACGAACGCTGTCCTTGAAATAGTTACAGAACTTTCTAAAGCAGGCAAAGATACAGAAGTACGATGAGCTAAATATGTAAATCCCAAAAATTAAAGCTCTAAAACTCTTCAAAAATTAGCTCATATGGTCCGTTTAAACAAAACTTCTTTTGTCTCAATTAGTGGAAAAATCACACCATCGATTGATATCACTTATCAGCACAAAAGCCAATTATCTTGAGTAGACGGCAGGATAGCGGAAGCAGAGACATGAGAAGATGTTCAAGACCGTGGCAACAGTGAAATTTTCTTCATAGAGAACTCTTTGAAGACAGGAACCTTTCTCTACTACCAAGTCTATGGCGAGGAAGCCAAGAACAATGGCGATGCGGCCGATTTTTATAAATATCTATATTATTTGACAAGGAAAGAATTCGGTTTGGGGAAAAATGGAAAGTTAAAGAGAAAAAAGGGATAAGTAGATTAGACGAGTGAATGCAATAGAAGAAAGAAGGCTATGAGGGGAAAAAAAATCCCATGGCTAAGAAGAGTAGGATCACTCGGGAGAAGGAAAACCAGAGCAAAGCCATTTCTCATTTCATCTAAATTAGGTTTTGTCTTAGTAGCATTTCTATTTTTTAGTTTAGTTATAGTTTTTTTTTTTCTTTAATCGTAAAGCACAACAAGCTCATTTTTAATTATGTTTGATAAGTTTAATTAGATGTATCTTATAGGATTTTCTATCATCAATAGAGTTTCAAGGGGTCCCATAAAGACAAGCATTACTATTGAATGAAATAATGCTTGGTATGCTTCTTCCTCTCTCTTAAATTGCCTAATTCTCTCTCTTATCCACGATAAATTTCACTAGCACTTCCATATAGTCTTAACCCATTGGTTCTTCCCCAACAACATTTCAACTCTCTAGAGTAGAATTCTGATAGGAAGTGGATGCAAAATTTGTGAAATTCCTTGGCTGAATTTATAATTTCAGCAAAACAAAAATCAGTAACATGTACACAAAGAAGAATAAAACTCAAGAACACTTTTTATTGGATTATATATGAAAGAAAAGACAAGATACAGTTGGATCTTCAATTGGAGAGGAAGATTCGGCTCTTCCAAATCACTAGATGCTGCTAGAGCCCAAAGCTTCCTAAAAATACTATAATTTCAGCAAACAAGAGCTACCTCCAACCCTAGAAAAATCTCATACTTAAAGCAAACACTAAATAACAAATATCCAAATAGCCCTCGCCCAATTCCCTCCCAAATCTGCCCTATTTTCTTAATTATGTCACCTCTAAATAAGCCCCCAAATCTGCCCACTTCAATTAGGAAACTTCTCCTAATTAATCCCCTCCAAACTAGCCCTCAAATATGCCCTCTTTAATTAGAAAATATTTCCTAATTAATCCCCTCTAAATCAACTCCCAAATCAGCCCCCAAATATGTCATCTTCAATTAAGAAACATCTCTTAATCAATTCTCTTTGATTAAGAATATTCCTAAAAAGCTCCCTCTTAATTAGAAACTGCTTAATTCCCTCCCAATCAAATCAGCTGGTCCATCAATAGTTCCCTCCCAAAGTGTCACCTTGTCCTCAAGGTGGACCGAACAAAACTGTTGTTGAACCACTTGACTAATAGCATTGGACTGAAAAATATACTGACGTTGAGTCGAACAATCTCTGCCTCGAGCATCTCCTTATTAATCTCTCACAATCTCTTTGTTATGGATTTGGGGATAATAATATTGACGAGCAGTGATAGGTGGGACTCCTTCCTTCAAGATGATAATATACTCGCGTTTCCGCGAAGGATTCAACCCTTTAACATGATGGAACAGCCCTCGATATTGTTGTAGGAGTGATAGAATCATGTATGGTGTTTCTATCTCCCCATCTTTTTCTCCTTCCAAATTTTACAGCCACTAAAAGTCTCACTCCTTCACCCTTTTCTCTACTTGGAAGTGGCTCCAAATGTGGCATCTCCTCTTCTTCCACCAACATTTCAACCTCCTGATATTTCCCTCTCCTTATCGGATTAGGTTTCGTCCACTCCCTTGGTCGCTGGTGGCCCCCTACCTCCAACAATGTCGTTTTGGTTTGAAACTCAAGCATCTTTCTCATCATCTACTCCATGATAGTGAACTTCTCATCAATCTTCTCATGGATGGATGAAAATAGCTTTTTGAAATTTGAAATCTTTTCTCCAAAATCTAATTTCAATTGCTCGATCCCCCCTTCCAATACTTCTACTTTTCTTCCAATCATGGATGCCCGAATCAAACAACTCTAATAACAATTTGATATGAAGGAAATGCAGAACTTGTGAAATTCCTTGACTAAATTTACAATTTTAGCAAAATAAAAATCTTCAACAAGTAAACGAAGAAGAATAACACTCAATAACACTTTTTATTGGATTATATAAAAAAGAAAAAGACAAGATATAGTTGAATCTTCAATTAGAGCGGAAGATTCGGCTCTCCGAAATCTCTAGACTATGCTAGAGCCCAAAGCACCCTAAAAATACTATAATTTCAACAAACAGGACCTACTCCTAAGTCCTAACCCAAGGGAAATTTCCTACTAAAAACAAACAATAAACACTAAACACCCCCCCCCCAACACACACACACAATTCCCTCTCAAATATGCCCTATTCCCTTAATTATTTCACCTCCAAAATCAGCCCTCAAATCTGCCCTTTTCAATTAGGTAGCATCTCCTAATTAATCCCCTCCAAACTAGCCCTCAAATCTATGCTCTCTTCAATTATAAAATATTTCCTAATTAATCCCCTCTAAAACGGCCCCCAAATCAACCCCCAAATATGCTATCTTCCATTAGGAAACATCTCCTAATTAATTCCATTTTATTAAGAACCTTCCTAAACAGCTCCCTCTTGAATAGAAAATTGCTTACTTCCCTCTCAATCAAATCAACTGGTCCATCAAATTCTTTACAACCCATAAGAATTGACACTATGCAAGTTTGCTTCAGTCTTTAATAATAAGAATTCTTTGAATTAAGGACCATAGCTCCTGATACCAAAGCTTGATTTCGTTTGGGTTGGGAATCAAAATATTTTAATTCCTTTATAATGGTTGTAAAAGGATAAGGAAAGAACTCTGAGAATTAAAACGCATGAGAAGAAATAACAGCAAAGAGGAATGGGAAAAAACAGAGGCAAGCAAGAGATGCAGGTTTTGGTTGACGGAGTTCAGTGGCACAAGAATGTCACAAAAGAAAGAGGAATGTGTAAACAAAGAAGATGGTAGAACAAAAGACAAGAAAGAAGAGAGAGAGGGAGAGAGAGAGAGAGTCGAGGGAGAAAAAAAAAGACTGAGCAAGCTGGGAGAGAGTATGGGTGCAAGAAAGATAGAATAGAAGAATGAAAAATAGGAACAGGAATGAGAGGAAAAGATGCAGCAGCTAAGTTACTGGAAAACAACTTCAACATTATAATTCATTGATTCCATCTTAATGTCAGAGTCTTGCTTACGGTCAAAAAGACTTTACGTAATAAACTAATATAAATAACTCAACTGATAACAAAGAGATAATTCAAATGCATGTGGAGATCAATTTGAATTCGAATTTGAAGAGGATGGCATGTGAGGTTCATTGAGCTAGTTGAATGCAGCAGTCATGGAGAGAGAAATAATGACTTTCAATTGTCAACGAGATGCAAATAATTAGAGGCTACAAACACCATTATTATTTATAGTAAATAGCATCATTGTCGTTATGCATTGAACAATAATTTCTTATTAAGGCTACTAAAAAAACTTGAAATTTGTTTGGAAAATTGCTTGTAATTCTAAAGCACCACTCCAAACATATTTAATTTCAAATTAGTTCCAAGAAAATATGAATATACAAAGGTGCTTGTATAAATATATAAGGTATATAATATAATACATTTATAATACATAACATAGTACTTATATTTATGCATTTATTTAACTAAAAACCAATTTTGAGTAAAGTTTGATGCTTTCATTTTTATTTCAAGTTCAGGTTGAGTCTAACTTGCTCAAATCAGACTCGAGATCACCATACCTTCACGTTATTGCTTGCGAAACAATAATTTTTTCACTATTATTCATAGAACAAAAAAAAAATACATTAATAAAGAGAAAGAATGAAGAAATAAATAACGGTAATGACAAGAAAGAGAAAAAAATGACAGATATTTTAAACTCTTTCAAAAGGCATGAAAGTTAGGAGATTATAGCATCACATCTAAATAAACACAACAAACATTTGTTCTAATATGGATCAATGTAGAATAATATCGCAAGAGAGTTAAGGAAGCCTTAAGTAATTGAAGAAGAAAAAAAGGAGGTGAAGAGAAGACCAAGAAGAAGAGAGAATTAAAGACAGACTAAGAATAGGAAGAATCATGACAAGCATCATTTCATTCAATATTTAAGTCAGTCATTATAATGGCCACTTGGACCTCTTGTTACAACAGAAAATACCACAATATATGACCAATATTGAAATTTATCCTAAATGATTGATGGCCATGACACATGATCAAAAACAGGACATGACATGAGCACAGGACATGCCCAATCTAAAAAAAATACATGACACAAGCATACATTGGGCACAATATTAATTGTGTGTACATACACATAATTAACTTCTAGTCGGTTATAATAGATTTATAAACAAAGAATGTCATATTCACCTAGTACTAATAGTAAAAATTCATGAACAAAATTCCTTTTACATATATTAAAAGAATTTCAATACTAAATCTTATGAAACAAAATAGAAACAAACAAAGCCAATTACTAATAAGATAGATGATATTCTCCTTTGTCGTTTGAGAACAAAGCTTGGTTTAACATTTTTTTTTTTTTTAAGCTTGGTTTAACATTAATACTTAGCCAGTTTCTATCATTGATCCTCTAGCAAGACTCTTTCCTATGTGGTTTTCTCAGAAGTCTTATTTAAAATTGAGTAACATAAACTATTTATTACTGCTTAATGAATTTATGGATCTCATAGAGAATTATCAAATTTGTTGAACTCCTATTGTAGATCATCTTAATCTATACACAGTAAATCTGTAAACCACAATAGATTAATATAAACTAAGCAATTAGATGTATTCAACAGCAATAGACCTTGTACTAATTTCTTCAAAGGCAAATATTATATGCCTTAATCAATTTTTTCAAAGGAAAATACCTTCAAAGGAAAATACCTCATGGGACATTGAAAAATTCATCAATACCAAGCTTCTAGCAAGTTTCACCAATGCAAATATTAGACTTAGATGCACTTATGTAATTGGGATGTCATTGAATCGCTTATCCATCTTTAGAGTCATTTATGTACATGATTTAGAATAACTTGCAACAAGACAAAAGAAAAGTTAAGCACCCGCCAGTTTAAGAAAACAACCAACCTGAGAGAAAAGAGTTGCTGCTTGGCAAGTGTCAACCATTATGAGCAATTCCTTGAACCTAAACACATGAAAGAATAGTTAAGGACAACAGTATGGTGTTTTATAGAGCACAAGCAAACCATCACTTAAAAAAAAATCTAGGGAAAAATTTTTTTTTAAAAAAAAGAGAAAGGTGTAAACCAAGGCAAAATCAACCTACCTATGCTTCTCTTTCATCTGCTTGACTGCGTCGGCTAAATCATGACTTTGAAGTTCTTCAGAATCTTGAAATTTTAAAAATTCATCTCCTCCGTGGCCAGTCATGTATAAAAGTATGTGGCTTCCTTCGTCACTTAAAAGACGCTTTGATCTTGGAACGGCACTCTCATGCCTCCCGGTTAATACTCGCAAAAGATTCTCAACTGTCACTTCATAACCTCGATAGTCAACCTAGATGTAAAACTCGAATTTTAACATTGATTTAAAATAAATGTTAAATTACACAAACAAAGACTATAAGTGCATGCGATACATAACCCACATAAAATATGACAGTAAAGCTTGAAATTAATTCAAATAACAGGAAATGGAGAATAAATTAATAAATAAAACATATGTGTGTTGAGAGGAATGGCACAAGAGTAAAAATTAATAAATAAAGCCCCATACAAAATAGGCAAGAAAAAAATGGGATCAAGATTCCATCAACTCGGTAGATGCTAAGAAAAAACAGCTCAAATGTGATGCCAACTTATGTTAAGATAAGAATATGAACACATAATGTAATGCTAGCTTACAGAATCCAACAAAATTCTCAGTCTCTTATAGCAAAACTAGCATATCTTTGAAACCCACCTCCACATTATCCCCATATAAGTTTAATTGATGGTTCTCATTGTTAAAAACTTGGGCAGGGTAAGTGTTTCTAGAATTGCAAGCCATGTCATCTGCCAACATTAGTATTATCCGTTCATCAGGTATTCCTAGTCTCTTTACTGTCCTGAAATGACAACATTCTCAAAAAAACCTTTGAGACAACTAAACCACGAAAAAATGAAAAATAACTTAAATAGAGTTACAGATAAAAATCCCAAGTATACCTGTATAAAGACAGAGTATTGGCCATATGTCGATAATTAAACCTGGTAAACAATTGTAGTATCAATCAGTGTTAACAAAATGAAAAAACAGTGGCATACAGTATTAAATTTCCTTAAGAATCATAGGAAAAGCCATTGTAGTAAGGGGGAAATCATCACCCTCAAATCTTCAAATTGCATTAAGATTCTTAATAAATGCACATCACTCCTTTATCCCATTTAATAAATTAAGTCAATGGCACCCCTCAATTTTCATCTTTAACTTTTTTTTTTTTTAGTTTACACTTAAAACTTAATTTAAGCATTTCTACTCAGGAACTTAAAGTTTTTAATTATGCAGAGGCTTTTAAAACTTTTCATGAGTCAATATTCCTATCATTTTTGCAATAGCCTCTCCATATCTAAACAAACGTTTATTTGCACCATAAGGTATACCAAGTTGAAGTCTTCACATGACATTTCTTGTTAACTTTTTTGCCTACATTTTTTTATTCCACTACCTGTAATCTCTCTATTTTTTTCAAACCCCTAATGAGAATGTCCAACTATTCAAGCATTAATAAAGTCTTTGTTTCCCATTCTCTGATGCCACAACAAACCCACTCCTCCATCTTGGTTCCTAGATATGCTTCTGTGATTATATGTTTAAAATAATATTAATTAATGGGCTAGATAAAATCTCAATCAAAGTCACCGGGCTACTAATTTCCACGGTATTGGGGTGAACAAACTTCCATATAGCAATTCTAGTGGTCATACATAGTTACAGAACTATGCAAAAGTTCCACTTTATTTTTAAGAGGCAATAATAGTTCAACATGCTGGCAAGGAGGTCAATGAGACAGCGATGCAAGGATATTCTGACATATATTATCTTCGAAACGACATCATGCAGAACCTATCTGTAAGCTACCACTTCAACACGCAAGAATCGGCGAGCGCTCAGCAGGATGGATGTTACAGACAGTTCAATATCAAGAAAATGAAATAAAGCAGATAAGTTAAGCCCGCGAACCCTAGCTCCAAGTGGAAGCTGATTTCCTCGTTTCTAATTATATTGAATCATTTAATAATACATATGCTCGAAATGCTATTAGGAAAACGAAAAATAACACTTGTGACAGGGAGTGCTGCATACATTTTTTCAATTCAATTCCAACAAACCAGTTTTTTCTTCCGAATGGAAGAAAAATTTGATGGATAATTACCAGAATCGCGAGGTGCAGACCAAGACGGCCCAGTTGTTGTTGTGCATGGTGGAGGAAAACGATGGTATCGCCGATGTCAACGAAGGCAACAGAGTGGAAGCCATGACCAGGTGGAAAATAAGTAAATGGCTGGATATTGGATGATTTCTCCAAGATGGCTTCAATCTCTGGGTCATCGAAGCCATTGTTGTGCCCTCGACACTCGCCGTTGGCAAGTCAGCTCGTCCCAGCAGCCGATTTCTCTCCCGCTCTTTGCTGGATTGCGCTGCAGGACCTCGATATATATATATATATATA